GGCCAAGCGGTGCCATTTGATAAAAATCAAAGCACACTGAGCTCGAAAATATCTGATTAACTATTTATAGTAAACTATCAATTAGTAATTTTTTACTTTTAAGTGTTTTTTTTTAAAGTCAGTTTTTATTTTTCTAAAAAGTTTTTATCACGCTCATAGTCCCATGGGGCGACACTTCGACACTCGTTGTGAGAGTTAAGGCACAGGATCAACGGCTTTACATGCTCTCCGAGGCGGTGGTAATACCGCCAACTTCCCAACTCCGGACTGCTACTAACAGAAAAACTAACTAAACTTGGCCCGACTCGGAATCGAACACAGGACCTCCGAAGCTGTGGTCGTGCATACCTACACTAGACCACCAAGACAGTTAGTCTAAAAATATATAATACTAGCAGAACCTGCGGCTTCGCTCGCGCTTAAATTACAAAAAAAAACTCTAAAAAGGTAGTTTCATACAAATTTTCATGCTCTATTTTACCCCCATATAGGATGAACTTCGAAAAATGCTAAAACACGTATTTATTTAATTTTATAGATGAGCAAATACCAAGTTTCAAATAATTCTGATTATAAATATTTTTTGTATTGTATCAAAACGTGTTTTTCCGTGGGAATTAGATGATATCCCGCGGTAAAAAGTAGCCTATGTCACTCTCCAGCCCTCTAACTATTTCCACACAGAAAATCACGCCAATCCGTCACGCCGTTTCGACGTGAAAGAAGGACAAACAAAAAAACACACTTTCACGCTTATAATATTTGTATGGATTATAAAATACGAATTCTTATTTTTCCTATAAATTTTCTCACATACTCCAATACTTGCTTTTGCATTATCATCGCTTCATTGTTACACTAACATTGTAATTTTGAACAAACTTTGTGAATTATAGGATAACTACTAATACTTCAAACAATTTTACTATCCAACTAGATATAAAATATGCCTGCTATCTCTTAGCCTACAAATAACCAAGCCTAGTTCAACGTGCATAATTCAAAACGCGTTCAGCACTGCAATGCAGTGCAAATACACCTTCTTTAATTTGCTTACCTCACTTTAAGTTATCGACTGAAATGTATGCAATTCAATACGTTAAGATTGATATTTAATAGTATTATTAATATACTAGCGACTCACCCTTACTCCATTCGGGTTCCTCCCTAATAACGATTTAACAGTTAGTATAGATTTCTCAGAGATGAGATATTTTCTCGCAGTGAAAAGTATCCTAATATATGTTGACCCGGATAGCCAACTATCTTCATACCAAATTTCATAAAAATTTGTTCAGTGGCTTTCTCGTGATCCGTTCCCAGACAGGCAGATGGACAGACAAAAAATCTAAAAACTATAGATTCGGCCTGTGTATCGATAATAATGACTATATCAATAAGATTTTCAAAAAAAATATTTAATGAACACATTCGACTCAGTTAAAATTTTATTGAAAAACTTTTTGATCATTGATCTTTGCCTATTCCTAACGGGATTAAATGAAAAAAAATACCAAATAATTATATAGTGTATGTTGCAAAATTTTCAAAACTTGCTTGTCAAAAACGTTTCATATAGGGATCATATTATTTTCCTTACTTGTCAAAAGTATTCAACGGTCTATTCATTATATAAGTTCAAATTATTAAAAAAAATATTTAAAAAAAAAGTATTTAACTTTCAAAGAGAAACAGACATTAATTAGAACGTAGAAGTAATACCAATGAGTCTATCAACTTATACTCCAGCCAAGTCAATAACGGGGGTCGGATAAAACAAAAACGTAACGGCATTTCAAGATTTGAAAAAAGGCTGAAACTTTTTCGTTTAAGTTTGAAAACCTTCGCATTTTATGTTCGCATTACCGTCAAACCTTTTGCTGCTACGATCGAGAGAAGGGACTTAAGTTTCTCATTCTCTCTGTACTTTTATAGGGAACTATAAAATTCCCAATTTTGAGGGCGGCTGCTTTCTTTAATACTCGCTTGTTAGCTTTGACCTGATAATGCTATGTCAGTTTAGGATGTTAAATTTAAACGATGAGTATCACGTGTGAAACGTATAACACAGTAATGGGTAATTATTTTACACAATATATTCTGAATGTTATTTTTAGTTAACGCGGTTATTATAGGGATGCTTAAAGAGTTTTTTAGAGATTTTAAATGAAACTACCTTTTCGGATTTTTTCGCAAATTTATTTCGATTTTAGTTCCAATTATGGTCACAGGAGAGACTAAGGTGTTAGATGTCTTAAGAAATTATATAGTTGTTACAGACAGCCTACTCACAAATTAACAAAATGAAGTCAATAAATTGAAAAATGGCACCAAAGTACCTTACAATATTTGTTAATTTAATTTTAATTTTTTTTAATAATATTAATTATTTCTATAATTATAATTGAATATAGAATATTTTTTATTTAATTTTAGCTGTTATTATTATATATTCGCGTAAATCTACGAAAGTAGCTTTTTAGAGCTTAATAATATTATGCTTAAGTATCGCGGCTATTATCTAAATGTCCATTTGAGCTCTTTTAGATTTTATGACCCAGATCATTTTGATTAAATTTTCAATGGCTTGTCTTATCCAAGATTATTAAAATATTAAAAAAAAATGTGAAAAATATTTATGAAATTAATATTAACAAATAAGATTTCTACTGAAAAATCACAATATAATATTTGAATCAAACATGAAAATATGATATGTACTAGCGCTCGACTATGATTGCTGATATTATGAAGCATACGAAAGGTCGGGGACCAAAAATCAAAATAATTTTGCGAATAAATCCAAAAAAATGTCTTCCGTAAAATATCAGTATTCGCGTAAATTTGAAAAAAGTATTATAATATAATGCACTATTAATAAAGAAAGTAATCACCCCATCTATACTAATATTATAAAGAGGTAAAGTTTGTGAATTGTGAGTATGTGACGTTGTAAGGGGTAATCTCTGAATCTACTGAACCGATTTAGATGAAATTTAGTTAGAAGATAGTTTGAGACCCTGGAAAGGACATAGGATATTTTTTATTCCGGAAATCTTCCCTTAAGGGAGTCAAAATGGGGATAAAAGTATGTATGGGAAATCAATCTAACTAGCTAACTTACTTACTTAATATACAACTAACTTAAATTTAACGTTAAGTTAACGTTAAGAAATAAGGATTCCTTCTAATTGCTAATAATAACACTAATTTCGAAATAACGAAATAATACAATGAAAATCTATACATATAATAAAATTATAACTAAGCCAAATTTGTACATTAAATATATGTTGGAAAATCTTATTGAAATAAACATTATTATCGATACAGTTTTTAGAATTTTTGTCTGTCTGTTAACGCATCACAGAAAAACCACTGGAAGGATTTTGATGAAATTTGGTAAGATGATAGCTGTTTATTCGGGTCAACATATAGGATTTTACCGCTGGAAAATGTCTCATTTCTGAGAAAATATACAAAAACTACAATGTAAGTGTATACTAATATGTTAAACCTAAGAATTTGTTTTTTGGTCATCTAAACGCGGGCGGAGGCGCGTCCAATGCTAGTGCTAAATACATTTTAACTATCTCGATAAGAATCCATCTATTTGAGATTAAGTTGCGACATTACGCGTATTCTCTGTCTACCAAAAGACGCCGCACCAGACCATGCGATAATCTATACAGTATAGAATGTCTTATCTATGCAGCTGATGAAATTAAAACAATATCAAAACTCTACATTGTTATAATCTATACTAAAACAGGCAGAGTTTGTTTGTTTGAACGCGTTAATGTCAGGAAGTACTAATCAGATTTGAAAAAATCTTTTTGCATTAGTTAGCCCGTTTATTGAGAAAGGCTATAGGCCATATATTATCATGCTACTACCCAAGGTAGCGGAGCACTAATTATATGGTCTATCCATTCCATACTAATCGTTTAATTGTGCCCAGGGACGAACCCGAGCGAAGCAAGGGTGAGCCGCTAGTTTATATTGTAAAAGCTAAAGTAGCATCTGTCAGTTAATTAATTTGCATATCATTCATATGTTTTTAAATGGATTTTTTATGTAGTGAGGCTGGCTTACAACGTTTTAGGAAGATTTCTGTTTTTTGTTTAATATAAAAAGTGATTTATTATAAAGAAAAAATGTTAAATAGTAGTTGATGTAAACTATAATTTTAATTTAATAATTCAATAACATAATTATTTTAATAACAATTTAATATTAAAATAAATTTTCACTCGCTATAAAGCCTACCCTACCAGCTACCTACGCTTAACTTAGATACGCAGCAATAAAGCCCATTAAAACACTTAGCGCCATCTATTATCATGCGTAACGCACTACGGCTGTAATGAATGAAGCAACGCGCGTGCGTACTGAGATCGATCCAGAACTGCCATGTAAATAATGTATACGGCTTCAAAATATGAATATTATTTTACGCAAGTAAAACTCCTTTAGAATTAACAAAAAAAACTCATTTTTATAGTAAAAACCTTTAAATAAAAATATATTTTACTTAATTTTTGTTTTTACGTATTTTTAATATGGAATTGTCAAAAATAGTATTTTTTTTATATTTTTATTGTTAGAAACACTAATACAAAACGATACAATGATCTGCCTTTAATTTATGGCGTCGGGTTTGTGTGAGAGAAAAGCAGAATAGCTGAATCATCGAAGTTCGAACTCTACAGTGGATTAATAGAGGCAACTTTCTATTTGGCTATTACCGTTTTTTGGACCAATAAAATTAAGACTGGAGTTTGCGCAGTGACCCTTTAGTTTCCACCTTTTCCCGCCAGTAGAGGCGCCACCGTCGCTCAAGCGTGTCGGGCGTTTTGTCAATTTTTATCAAAAAAACATCACTATTACTAACAAATACTATTTAAAAACATATCAAATTAATACAGAAATGTTTAAAAGACTTATATTGAAACAAATTATTTCTTAGACTATCTAATAATACCAGTGTCTTTACTAGAATGAAAGGAATTTGTGTTATCTTTTTATTTATTTTCGGTGTTTGTTTTGCTAATCCCGATGCGAAAAGGCTATATGATGATCTTTTAAGCAATTACAATAGACTTATACGGCCTGTTGACAAAAACAACAATACTGTGCTTGTGAAATTAGGACTGCGACTCTCTCAACTCATTGACCTGGTAAGTAACTTATAATGTATGCTATAATAAATTGTGCTGGAATCAAAATTTATACAATATATAAAATATTAGCGACTCACCCGCGCTTCGCTCGGGTTAGCCTCTAAAACAAAACCAAACCTATCCTACGATAACCATAATTTTTTTCGAGATAAAAAACCTAAGTGCTATTCCAGACTATAATTTATCTCTGTGGCAAATTTCATCCAAATCCGTTGAGCCGTTTTCATCCATCCAAACAACCAAACATCTAAGCTTTCACATTTATAATATTAGTAAGATTTATTATAATTAGTTTAGTGGGCGCTTCGTAGCAATATAACGTAGCTTATTAATAAACCTTTATTTCGACATTTAACGATCTGTTTCATGTCATATCAGGCTAAGCAGTTTTAAATGAAACTTAATATATTGCAAAGGTCAATTAACTAACAGTACAATTACAACGACTTCAAATTTACTAGTAGAGTTTATTCTTCAACTTATATGGGATTACCCATTACGATAAACTACTCACAAGCACACACATACACTATATGTGTATATATATGTACATTCCTATTGAGTACCGCAGGGACCTTTTTGAAGTCGATCAAAAAAACAAAACTAAGTTTAAATTCAATCAGACAGAGTAGGTCTAAACTATGTATATAGTTAGGTCTAAAGATATAGATATAGTACTACACTCCCAATCAAATATTTTATATTGTATTCAGCCCTTTTAAATTTCCCAATGCAGAGCACGATCCTCCCCCAATACAAGGGGGATCAGACCAAAGTTTACCACGCTAGCCAAGTTCAGGTTGGCGGACTTCACATGTCTTTCGAAAATAAATAAATATATTGGGACATTCATACACAGCACCATCATAAGTATAGTCATTGTTAAGAACGAATGACTTAGTTTTTGTATTGAACTATAATTTTTATGTAAAACCGACAAGATAGATGTAGGCTTCCATAAATTCTAATAAAAATTGATTTACTTACAGCATCCTTCTAGCTAGTTAAATATATACTTACACATTCTAACCTGACATTCAAACTGATTTTTAAAGAAGTTATATATAAACCTTATAAAATTTACTAATGTTATCTATTCTCTGTAAAGAAAATTATTTTAATACAAATGCAGAATTATGTACTTACGCTTGCCAACGCTGAACGCTGGCCAGTAAAATTAAAGAAATATATATATATATATATATATATATATATATATATATATATATATTTTATTTATTGGCCAATACATAACAAATACATTATAATTTGCAATTTAAGTACCACGAAAACCTCGCGGGTTTATCTGGGTACAGAGAGTCATTCAGTTTATTCGGTTTGTTTTTGTAAAAAATATTTTTTTAAAAGTGATTTGATTTTCGTGGTACTTTTATACATTTCTTGCAGTTCTCTGGGCAGTTCGTTAACATATTAAATAAAAAAAACATATCGAATAAAGTTTTACAATTAGTATGTAATCTGCAGGCATTTAGATTTGAAAACATTATTTTTTATATTCTTTGCCCTACTAGTTGATTCCGAATTCGTCGTTGTGTTCAAATTCAATATAATTTATACAAAAATTCTATAAAAAAATATTTAGGTGGCTCCTGAATTTCACAAGTTTCCAGGCAATTTTGCAAGCTGATGTAAATTTTTTTTGTGTGCAACTTAAAACATAGCCTAACGGTCTGAAAATTAAAAAAATATTTAATAATTCACCATCTCGACAACAGCGCCAATTACAGGTCTAATTTTAACTAAGAACAAGACCTAGACGGTTAATGCATAAGTACACACAAAACATCATCAAAATAGGTCATGCCGTTTACAAGAAAAAGATTTATGAACACAAAAAAATACACTAAAACTATTTTTTTTTTCTAGAAAAATATCCTATAAATATTATAAATGTGAATGGATGGGTGGATGATGTTCGTTACTCAATCACGCCAGAACGGATGAATAAATCTGGATAAAATTTCACGCAGAGATAGATTGTAGTCTGGAATAGCACATAGGTTATTTTTATCCCGGAAAATGTGCGGTTCCCCTGGGATATCCGTACTAAGAGTTAAAACGTACCTAGTGACGAACCCGAGCAAAACGAGGGTGATTCGCTAGTATATATATAAATCAAATATGCCTACAATACTGTACAGCAGTTACTATATACTATAACTAATGTCCTTGTGGAATTATAGCAAGAACGCTAGCTGCAATTCGCCCGCAAAATCGCAATGCCGATTCTTTGGTCGAAGATATGTAAATCTACATCTATAGTCAATATTATAAAGATGGAAGTTTGTTTACAATCAGTAAACTTTGAAACGTTGTTAAAGTTAATTTTGATAAACAATAATATATACCTGTTTTCCCAGAGTACTACTTATAGGCAATACATTTTATTTTATATTGTGTGTTTTAACCAAGCTGGTACGGTGTTTATCTAAATAAAAGTCGAAAAATATTGGTACACTAGCTTACTAATCTTATTTAGTGTTGCAATCATTATATTTGAAAAATTTAATAATTATTGTATAAAAAAAATAATAGAAGATGGTATAAGAGTGATTCTAAAACTAGGTTGCCTGTGAAAGTTCTATTTTATTACTTGAAAATTACTCAAAAACTTTTGAAATATCTATATAGTCATGGAAATAAGATAAAAGGGTCACAGTATTAACATTTAAATTACGTTATAACTTGCCTGGTGTGGATGCCGAGCGTAACTTCTTAACAGTTAGGTTTCTCATGGAATGTTAACTATGACACAAAGACAAAATGTTTGGATACTTTCAGTAGCATTATGTCATACATATTAAGGAGGATCTGTTACTTATACAATATAATCTAGCTTTCTCAATTTAATGTATAAAATTATGGGTTTAATGAGCAGGAATATAGAAGTAACTAGCATTGCCAGCGGCTCCGCCTGCGTTTAGATGACCAAAAACAAAATTCTTAGGTTTTACATATTAGTATACTCTTACATTGCAGTTTTTGTATTTTTTCTCAGATATGAGACATTTTCCCGCGGTAAAAAGTATTCTATATGTTTCTTTATGTCCCGGCTAACCAGCTATCACCATACCAAATTTCATCAAAATCCCTTTAGTGGTTTTTCTATGATGTGGTAACAGACAGACAGACAGACAAAAATTCTAAAAATTATAGATTCGGCCTTTGTATCGATAATAATGTCTATTTCAATAAACTTTTCCAAAAAATATTTAATGTACAGATTTGACTTAGTTTAAAATTTTACTATATGTATAGAAGTATTCGCAGAAATTGAAAATTCATGAAACTGTAATGTTTTGTGTTAATAATATTTTTCTAATATGTATATTCTATTTTTGTGTTACTTTTACTTCATTTCTTTATACTAACTTTACTTATTATTAAAAGCTTGCACCGTAACTCGGTTCTGTTTTTGTGCATGTTACCCAATATATTTGCCTACGAATCTTTTTTCATGATCTTTTTAGCTTTTTATTGAATAGGTAGGTAGTATGAAAAAATAATTTTAAATTGATTTTAACATCGATATATATATATATATATATATATACATATATATACTTTTTATTAAAACAACAATTTAGTGCTCTATAAGTTGCTGCGTAAGCATTTCTCACGAATGAAAATTCACCCTACATTTTAATTTTATTATTAATTAATAAAACTGTACAAAGTTTAGATTTAGATAAAACTTAGCAATTCTCAAAAAAATATTATTACTATTGTCTAAACTTCACTTAGCTCGTAAAGAGTTGTAATTGAAATGGGATAGACGTTTACAATCCCCAGACTCTCAATTGTTGCATTTCTAAGCCTTTCCAGATCATAAGTAATTTAACTTCAGTCTACAGTATATATAGATTTTAACATTTATTGTTTTTGTAGTACTTTTTATATAGTACATAATTTTCAATATTGAGTTGTACTTCTGTAATTTTATAATAGCTAATAGCCTAATAGCTACCCCATTTTAGGTTCATATACAAATTGAATGATAACAAAACCAAATAACTGTTAAAAAACCAGTAGATTTACCTGTCTTTGTTTATCTTGTTGTAAATATGTATATACATTATACATATATTCTGGAATGCCTAAATCGACTTAAACAAGATTCATTGACGGATAAAAGACTTAGTCAAAAGTAGCATGGATAAAAGGTAACCTACTTTAGAAAAACACAAAAAGGTTATTATAGGGGACCTTTCGTGATGAGATTTGAACTTTTACGAGAGTTTTGATACAGTGCAAAAGAACCAAATCAAAGTATCCTACTAATATTATAAATGCGAATGATTGTGAGGATGTATGGATGTATAGATGTATGGATGTTTGTTACTCTTTCACGCAAAAACTACTGAATGGATTTTAATGAAACCTTACAGTAATATAGCTCATATATCAGAATAACACATTTTGTACCGGAAAATGTACGATTCCCATGGGATAGATTTATTTTTGTTTTTTTAGAGGCGAACCTGAGCGAAGCGAGAATGAACCGCTAGTTATATAAATAAGCAAAGACAAAACAGTTCGGTACCTTTTTTTTCTCTGTTTATCAACCGTTTTTTTTTGTGTTATCAATAAAAAAATGGGACCAAATTGTTTTTTTTTTCATTATATAAATGATTAAAGATGAATACTAGTAAAATTAATAAAATTCCGTATTAAAATATTTCAGACAGTTCCTTAACTTCCGTTTTTATCATCGCTATACATCGTTTTGATGTAGCCAGAGATTTCTTGGCAAATAACCAAATTCGAATCGATTGCCTTACCAACGCGACGATACAAAAACTAGATTAAGCGAGATACAACATTTTTACTTGCGGCTGCATCTTCACTTACAAACTGTTAACGACACTATTTATTATTATTATACTAATTTTTGTGACATTGAGTATAATACATTTGAAGGTACATAGCAATGATTATAAATTATAAATTTTGACATTAATAAAATATGAGGGTATAATAAAAAAAATAAAAGGGGGGTTGTTGAACAAAAGTGAGAGAGGATGCAGATTGTGTGTAACGAAGTTTAAAAATGTATATTGTAACTATAGCTATAGGCTGAATTTTACATCAATAATTGATTGTAAGGAACATACAGTATCTGTCTATTATTGGAGAACCATAATTTAATAATATATAACTGAATGAAATGAAAGATTGTAGTTACTCTCTGGGAGAAAAATTAAATGTGGCACTCGGAGACTGCCGCGGTAAAGCTATTGCATAGCATTTTTTATCAACTTATGCAATTATAATTATTTATTTATTTTATTAATGCAGTAATTTTTTTCCTTGACTTTCTTCATTAATAAATACACTTTGTTTATTCATATTTAAAACACTTTGTACACAAATTATACGAGTACAGATATTCACTGTTGTACATAGATGATAAATACCTATACACCTATATACTTTCTCACAAACAGCTGATTACGGTAGTTTTCCAATACAACCAATGCCACCTAAAGGCGGGTTGCTGAACTAAGGAGACAAACGTAATATTTCAAAAAGTCATTAAAAGTTCTGGTATTTATCGATAGATGGAAGTATCACCGCTGTGCCGGTCGGAGTGGGGGGCGTCAGGTTTTTTTCGTTACGGAATTTCTGGATTCGGTCCCCACGCTCAAGGCCCGCGATAGAAGCTATGCAATAGCTTAAAAAAACTTTAGAAAATTCGAGATTTATATTATTATTTTATTATATTTATATATTTTTAATGAAATCAACAATTCGTGCTCGGGAGTATTGAAGTCAAGCTTTTCTCGTTCGTTTTAATAGATTTTTTGGAACTGTTTAAGCATCAATGATTTTTAAGTGGAAGCACAGGAAAATATTAATATACGTATCATATAAAAGAAAATCCTAGTAAATTTATATTTAATCATTTTTAAACTTCATCGATCCTAAATAAACCAAACAATTATGATTCTAATACCAGGAAATGATTTTGTAGTTAAATAATTTAGATCTCTATTTTATTATATTCATAATTATTTAATAACTAGTGATTCGCCCTCACTTCGTTTGGGTTCGTCCGTAGGTGATTCTTTAAATTGATATTACTTTTATATTTATGAACCGATTGGAATAAAATAAATACTAAATGTTAAGTAAAGCTTACCACAATATATTAGTGAAAATTTCGCCCAAATCGGTTAAGCCGTTTCTGAGATTAGCGCACACAAAAGCACAGACAGACTTAAATTCTAAAAATCATTGTTTTGGGTTCTATCGACCCCCAATAATCGTTTTTTTTTTTCAAATATCTTCTATGTACAGACAGCGATCAGTTACACTTTCATTATATGTATCGAATAGATGATTTACCAAAATTTCCTTAAACAAAATATATAATTATAATGTTATAATCACTAATTAACTGCTTCATTATTATACCTAACTGGAAAATCCTTATTCGTTGCTAGCTCAAATATATATAAATATATTTATTGAAGTACATTTTAGTCATAAACAGTATTATATCGGAGTCGTAAATTAAATATGACAAGCTGTAACTGAACAAACAAAACACTAAAGTATTTGTTGTCCTTCCATTTGAACAATAATAATTTATGACCGCTGGTAGGTTTGTGATGAGCATTTCCGTATATGTCATTATAAGAATGAACATCTTGTGAATTTCATTCTTATCAAAATATATTTTTTTGCAATTTGAGTCACATTGATAACTTATTAATGTTATTTAACCGGAACAGCTGTTAGGGATTTAATAGGGAATAGATGCTGGAGATTTTATGAAACCAAATTATTTTTTTTTGCAGAACCTGAAAGATCAAATCCTAACAACCAACGTTTGGCTTGAACATGTGAGTATTTAAAATTTAGTTAAAATTTCTATCTATCGAAATCTTATTCTATAACTATTAGGGACCACTGTTGAGGTGAAACCTAATTAATTCAAAAAATGATTATGAAAATTGATCAACACATACAAAAGAACATATAGAATTGAGTACATCTCCATTTTGGAGTCAGTCAATAAGATAGACATATCGTACGATTACCCTTTAACATCACAAATATAATATTTGGAGGAATCCAATAATAATGGTAAAAACATTACAGGAATGGGAGGATCACAAATTTAAATGGGACCCTCTAGAATACGGCGGTGTGAAGGAACTTTATGTGCCTTCCGAGCACATTTGGCTTCCGGATATCGTTCTATATAACAAGTAAGTGGATACAAAAAGCCTTTAGCATTTTACTATATTTATGGTTCCGAGGCGTTCCCTGGGATTCTTGCGGTATACTTGGATTACACACCTTTTTCGTAAGTCTAATTTATCTATCTTCTTTGCGCTAGTAGGTTATATCTATTATAGCAATATCGAAGAGAATGTAGTGTATTATTGGAAATAAACATGCAAATCTTTTAAATTATTTAACAAAATTTAGTAAACTTTAGTAAAATGGATCATCTACGTATAAAATACCATAATAAAAACTCATGCAAGTCTAGGTAAATTAGGTCAAATAGCACCATATAATTAAACCAACTCATTCATTAACATGATCATCACAAATTTAAATGAACTTATTTCAATTATATTTCAAGTGATATAGTATTCTGTTAGGAGCGCTTTCCCAGTTTGTTTGTCATTCCATCAACTTTAATGTAGACGTCGATGTTCCTGTTTCTAATTATAACGGGTCGGAACAAGTTAGTCAGTACAATGCAATTTGGTGCGACGTAATGTTCTAATGAATGTTCACGAACTTAGTTCACAGGGTGGCCTGTTATATGGCAATTACGACATAGGCGGCGGATGTTAACTATTGGGTGCTTGTTTATGGATGAACTCTTGGTATTGTTGGCCATTTTGATGTAAATCCTTCTTGGTTAGTTTACTCATCGTCATCGATGATGTGATCACTTTAAAATATTGATCTAAATTGTCGTATATTATTTTTAGTGGTTTTAAAAGTATATTTTCTACAGATTACACTATCCATAAGATTTATTGTTTAAGAAACTTATCAGTTCATGTATACATGATACATTATATTATTAATCAAAACAAAGCACACCGACTTCGAAAATATTTGATTAGGTATGTATAGTAAATGAAAACTACCAATCAGTTATTTTTTACTTTTTAGTGCTTTTGTTTGAAGTCGGTTTTTATTTTTTTGTTAAAAAGTTTTTATTTTAAAACAAAACTTAAAACAGTATTATACTCTAAAACAGCGTTAGATGTAGCGATATAAATTGAAAAGTGATGCGAATATATCGAAAAAGCCGATGGGACGTTTGATGCCATTAAAACGTCATGTACCGATAAAATATATAGACGGAAAGCAATAATTCTGGACACACTCATATTATACCTTTATATGTTTTTTAGAAAAAGTAAGTTTGTGATTATATTGGATATTTGCGTTTTACTGCGAAACCGCCTGCGTATTTTATTTGTATATTAATATTTTATATATATTGCCTCGAAGTTTTAAGACTTATTTAATTTTTATTTAATTTTTTGTTAGTAGTTTAATGTCACCTGCGATTCTGCTCGAATAGCATTTCACTTTAATATGTTAACGGCAAATGAAAAATATCTAGGGACACGTATTTATATACAAAATGATTAACGGTTAGTGATTCCCATACAAAATAAACGGTTCTTAACTGCTGTTTTTTTTTTTGAGTTGTACCTATTTTTTTACACTTAAACCACCCCTGACACACCTCTAACAAAACAAAAAAAGAATTTTCATTTTTAGTTTAAGCTACACTAACGAACAGCAATTGATTATTATATGCATAATATATAGATTGTACATGCAAAAGCTTATGAGTATAAGAGTATGTAGTTTTGTTACATCTTCTTATATTTGTTTAAAGATAGATAATCACTTTTTGTACTATTTTACTAACTTAATACCTCCAGTTAAATTTCTAAGAAATTAATTAAATTTCTAAGAAATCTATTGTTAAACTATAACGCCGCCGGCGTGTCCGCGGTCATTGAGGGGATATCTTGGATATTTATGTTTTTCGACAAAAATCAACGAAGCAAGTTTTGTATTGCTTTCCAAAATTTAGACAATAACTTTTTTCGGTTAATGTCCAATTAAAAAAGTATAGAACCAGGGCTGAAACATTCTACTAGTATTATTATAATAACTATGTCAAAATATATAAGTCGAGGGAAAACTGGGAAGTTGTAACACTTAAAGTTAATTGATAGCAAATATCGACAAGAAAGCGAAATGATACATCATGTTGTGTCAAAACAGAACGGCGAACTATTAATCATGGAGAACGCACGTGCGACCAATCTTACGCTGTGATCACACGCTTGGCTCAATTTATAATAGAGAAGGTACTTATATTATATTTTGGGACTGAAGGAATATTCTTCTATACATATAATAAAATTGTATCTAAGCCGAATCTGTACATTAGATATTTTTTGGAAAATCTTATTGAAATAAACATTATTATCGATACAGAGGCCGAATCTATAGTTTTTAGAATATTTGTCTGTCTGTCTGTCTGTTACCGCATCACAGAAAAACCACTGGAGGGATTTTGATGAAATTTGGTATAGTGATAGCTAGTTATCCGGGTCAACATATAGAATACTTTTTTATAGCGGGAAAATATCTCATTTCTGAGAAAAAATATAAAAACTGCAATGTAAGAGTATACTAATACCTAAGAATTTGGTTTTTGGTCACCTGAACGCGGGCGGGACCGCGGGTAATGCTAGTTATTTCTACAAAAGTATTTTTTTATATATTTTTAACTTTACTTTTAACGTTAGATAGAAATTCAGACCAGAAGAATAAACAAATATATATGCTGGGACATTAACCCCATCTAGTTGGTAAGCTACGAAGCTCGTATTATGGATACCAGTTGTTATTGTACCAGATGATACACTACACATATATAACTCTAAATACATAGATATTGTAAATATAAACACCCATGCCTGGAGCACAAACATTCATGATCATCACACAAATAAATGCCCCCAGCGGGACTGGAACCCGCGACCGCTAGCACAGCAAGTGTGCACTACAAACTGAGCCAAACGTGTCGTCAACGACGATGAACATACGTAGGCTTCTTTTATTATTAGCTACTTATTCAACACAATAAATAATATTACAGTTGTAAATTTAAATAATAACCCCCTTCTCCAACAGCCCAGAAGAAAAGCGTATGAAATTAATACATAAAATATTAAAACTTAAAAGTGTTGTCATACAAAAGTCAGTACTAGTCCCAATAATAATTACGAAAAAGTGTTTGAATTTATCATTAGTATGTGAAGTAACAAATAGAAAATTGTGCTTGAGACAAAAATATGTCGATCGATGCCTGTTGATGAGTCGAACATACAGTATGCTTATATGTAAATTTAAAAAACTGGTAGAAAAAAATTGGCTCTACATCCGCCCCGTTGTTTTTTCAGCGTGATTTATTTCGTAAGCTTAATATGTCGCCTTCGAAGTGAAGAAAGCTATTTCATACTAAATTGAATCTAAAATACAAGCATTTTAAGTGCCTAAAAAAATGTATTATATCTTTTCTATCAAATTAATTGTTTTCTATTTACAAGGAGTCAATAATATTTTAAACAATTTATAAAATATACAAGCCAATCGAAGCTAATGATTGGATTACACGTATGTGATTTACATGCATATGTTGATGTATGAGATGTTTTGATTCTCTTAATTTATTATATTTTATTTAAAAAAAATACATATTTTAGGGTGAATGCATTCAACTATACTAGCTATACGCCACAATTAGGTACTTATTATTTAAACGGCAAAAAAAATGAGTTTTATATTAGTTAACGTTTAGCCCAGAGATGAGATATTTTCCCGCAGTAAAAAGTATCCTATATGTTGTCCCGGATAACTAGCTATCATCTCACCAAATTTCATCAAAAACTATCCTTAACGGAGTTCACATGTCATGTGTGTGTGTGTGTGTGTGTGTGTGTGTGTGTGTCTGTGTGTGTGTGTGTGTGTGTGTGTTTATGTAAGACATGTGTGTGTGTAAGACAGCTGGTAATCATGTTGGAAATGATTCGCACATAAAAATATCAGTGGTGTGAGACCCGGGATTCGAACTCCTTTCACTCGGTTTTCCAAGCGAATGAGTTACCACTGGGCTACCACTGCCCAGCGAAGACCGACCGGCTCCAAATAGATCAAAAAGAAAGGAAGATGAATTAAAACATGATTCTTGTTAAACTAGCACTTTGATTATTTCAAGTAAATCCTTATCTTAAAATTAAGCATCATGTAGTAAAAAACTACAAAATTTATCGCCACTTAGGATATACTCAATTTAATTTATGTTCACATAACATATAACAATAACATACGTATATTATATAAAATAACTACGCCATAACTTTCTCACCATAATCCAATTTCTCTTGTGTCCTTTAGTCATGTATATTTTCAAATGATGGGATTTGTACGATGGATGAGGGACCGCTGACGCTTAAACGATGTATTCTGTCCTCGTGTGTTTCTTAGCCTTACGAGTATGTACAGAGGATAAACTGTGGAACAAATTTGAAGATATTCTTGAATAATGATAGTGCTTAACTTTATGTCCCTTAACTGTCTTCCTTGACTTTGGTATTAATCAATCCTTAGATCTAAGAGGCATTTCACACGTATCAATCTAATTTTCGTAGTCGAGAAGCTTCGATCAACAGTAGTATTATTGATCGAAGTCGAGAAGTTAATACACACTGTACAGATATTACAGAATAATCCATACTAATACTGTAAATAGGGAAAGTAAGTCTGTCTGTTACCTTTTCACGATAAAGCCTCTGAACGAATTTCGATAAAATTTGGCATGGATATATTGCATCCTGGGATCGGGTATAGGATATCCTTGAATCTCACCCGCTTATCAAACAGGACAGCGAAGCCATGATCAAAAACTAGTATGAAATATTTATCCAAAATAATGTTATTATTCATTATTCAATTGTTATCTTAACATAGATATAACATATAATTACTATATTACTAGACATTAAAAAATATCGTAAAATTCTAACCTAATTTTATAAAAAACTGACTAATTAGTTCGTTTATTCCTATGTAGTTATTTAATTCAGCAGCGGAGTAATGTATTGATGTCATTTTTATGAAATTTTACATGTCAAAGCCACACCATGCTATGCCCAATGGCACTTGGATTCCATGGGCATTATTATCTTCAAAGAATCACTAATTCAAAAATTACTACTTATAATTTATTACTTATAGCCATACTCATTAAAAGCCTCATCTTATATAGAATTATTGTTGACAGTGCCGACGGAGAATACGTTGTGACGACTATGACGAAAGCAGTTCTGCATCACACTGGCAAAGTTCTTTGGACTCCACCAGCTATTTTCAAATCATCCTGCGAAATCGACGTTAGATATTTCCCGTTCGATCAACAAACGTGCTTTTTGAAGTTTGGTTCGTGGAGCTATGATGGCGATCAGGTATAGAATTATATCCTGTACATTTTTCCGGGATAAAAAGAAATCAATGTACTATTCCGGCCTATAATCTACCTTAGTACCAAAATTTTATCCAGATCCGTTCAGCCATTCTGGCGTGATTGAATAACAAACATCCATCCGAACTTTCGCATTTATAATAATAATAATGGGATTAATTGGATGGGTTCATGGATACTCTCCATTTTGTCAAAACTTTTTTTTATTAAAATGTGGCCTTATTAAATATGATTATATTTATGTTTTAAATAAAACTATCTTTTCGGATTAATTTTTATTCGGGAGAGAATCTCCCGTGAAATAAATCCGCAAAATAATCCGAAAAGATAGTTTTATTTAAACTGACAAATATTCGTGTAAATCTAAGAAAGTACTATTTATGTTTGTTAGCATATAAAATTTATCAATAATATAAATAAAGATGTGATATTAGCCAAAAGCTAGTTTGTAGCTATCTCCACTTTCTCTTAAATATTTTTTTTACGCATCCTTTCACATTTATTTACCATTCTAATGATAAGGATTTTTTAAATTGTATTTATATTTTGCTATAGATTGATTTGAAGCATATAAACCAGAAAAAGGGGGATATGGTGGAAGTCGGTATAGACCTCCGGGAATACTACCCCTCTGTAGAATGGGACATATTAGGGGTGCCCGCTGAAAGGCACGAGAGATACTACCCTTGCTGCCAAGAGCCCTATCCTGGTAAGTTATACTTTACTATAGTTAGTGATTTACTAGCACAATTTATTATTATAATTTTTCATTTTATTTGATCTTTAAATATTCTTATGTAATTATACAAAGCGACAACATATTACCACAAAACTATATTGTTGCCATACAATAGTCAATATTAGTCCCTTTTATTATTAGTGTCATTTAAATGTAAAAAAAATTGAAAATTCTTGAAAATTTTTGTTCTTATCCATCTTTACATATAATAAAATTCTAAATTAGTCGAATCTGTGCATTAAATTTTTTTTAGAAAATCTTATTGAAATATTCATTATTATCGATACAGAGACCGAATCGATAGTTTTTAGAATTTTAGAAAACCAATAACAAATATTAAGCAACACTATTACATACATATTTTGGTTTTTTAATAATAGCAAACTTAATTAAAATTATTATTCTTAATTAATTTTATTTTTTTACATTATTATGTGTAACAATAATGTGGCTTGAATAAATTAATATCCTATTGTTATTTTTCTTTATGGTTATAAATATAATAATGTCAACACTAAATATAGATTACTAATTAATAAACTATTCTGCTAAAATTAAATAAATAATAATCCATATTCAATTATAAAACTAATTAAAATTATATAAAAATGTTTAAAATTAAAAAATATTGTAAGGTACTTTGGTGCCATTTTTAAATTTTTTAAATTCATTTTTTATTTTGTGGTTAGGCTGTCTGTAACAACTATATAATGCCTATTACACATCTAAAACTTCTCTCCATGACGACCATGATTGCTGTAAAGCATTCGAAATGTCGGGAACCAAAAATCAAAATAAATCCGCGAAAAATGTTATGCATCCAAAATTAAAGGAACATACATTAATATCTAATATAACAATACCAATTAAATCCCATATATGGCTGTATAGCTGACAAAATTAGTTGAAATTCGTCCACCAAATAAACAGTAGGTACGTTACACGTATTATATATTACAGGTTTTCCTTTGAAATGATTATTTAATCTAGTAATATTAATTTCTAGAAATACGATCATGCTTATATAGAGTTGCAATGGGATAAGAATCCTTTAAACTTGGTAGTGTATTATTTAATAGGGTAGCAACATAATATTGGTAATACCAAATTACTCAAGTAATCTTGTATGATTGGAAGCAAGATGACTTACTCGCGGCTTCGCGTTCAAGTGTCAAAATTTATCCATTATCAATAAATATATACTGTCCTGGTATAGGAGCCTTTTGTGGAGTATATTATCATAAAGGGTTTTTTCTAACTTAGTCATCGAATTAAAATAAAATCTGTTTATAATTTCGTAGCAATCCTACTAATATTATAAACGCGAAAGTTTGTAAGAATTTTTATATGGATGTATGTTTGTTACTCTTTCACGCCAGAACGGCTGAACGGATCTGGATGAACACAGATCTCTGTGGTTATAGATTATGGTCTGGAATAACACATAGGCTACTTTATATCGGGGAAAAATATATGGTTCCCGAGGGATAGATTTGTTATTGTTTTTCTACTAGACTACAATAAAATTCGATCGGAAGTAATTTTTCAAAATTACTAGAAAATTTATATTCATAAAAGTTAAAATATTACATTTCTGAAGTCGGCATAAGTTTTAATCATAAAATTATTTATGTATATGAATAGGCAGAAATAAAACAGTTCAATACCTTTTTCTTTCGTTTAGTAGCTATTGACCAGCTTTAAGTGTTATCAATAAAAAATTTTGAGCATCCCCGAACAACGTACACAACCTATACGTCCGGCGCACCCTGGGCAATCACAAATTTATTAACCCTGATTGGCTAATCCTTATAGTACCACGATGGCATTCTTGCCATCGACACGAGAAGAAAAAGAATAAAAAAATCTTGAAAAAAGTTTTTTTACATAATTTTGAATTTCCAATAATGATTATAGTCTGATTTCAAGAACTAGGATTAGGAACACTATTGATAATATTTTTGATCTTTGGTACCAATGCTATTACGAAATCACATACATATTTTATTATAATAAAAAGCGCCTTTTAATAAGTTTATTTTTAAACTCTTGTAAAACTACACAAAACGAAAAATCAACGACATTAATCAGTCGGTATCAGTATTCAGAGCGCGTCTGTACTTGCGGGCATTAACAAAACAACCGTTTAACCTGTTAAGAGCGGTACGACGCAGTAATTTAGCATAGATAAGCGTTGTCGACGTGCCGCGGTATTTACGACTCTAGAAGATTAGGGGTGGTTAGGTTTTTTAGAAAGGTTTATGGGAACTCTTGTGGTAAAGATAAGTATTTTCAGGGGAATTGTTTAGATATGTTATTAGTCTTGTAATATTGTTTGTTTGTAAGGAATAAAGATTGAAATGATTTAGTGTTTTTTTAATACATTTCTTCATACAGAGGGTTGGTCAAGTCTGCTGTATGTCTGCAAAACTGTGGGTTAAAGTAAACTCACCTCAAAGTGGAGCCCTGAGACAAAGAAGTGGCTTCGCGTTAGACTAAAACTAGGTGGCGGGATGTATTAGATAAATCCCATCCAAATTGGCCTATTCTTAGCACAAAACCGCAAATTCTAGAAACATAGAGGGAAGTCGTTTGTCCAGCTGTGGGATAATTTAAGCTCACTGTAACAGTATTCATTCCATATACTAACACGACCAAATACTCTATAGTAAACGTATCTTTATTAGTAACGTAACTCTATAGTCACGTGAGAGACTAAGGATTTGATGGTTCAAAAGCTATTTTTATTACAGACGGTATTGATATTTTCTTAATACTTTCTTAGATTTACGCGATTATTTGACATTTTAAATAAAACTATCTTTTCGGATTTTGCCGCGGATTTATTTGGATTTTTGTTTCCCGAGTCAGTCTCTCCCGTGACCATGGATGCTGTAAAGCATTCGAAACGTCGGGAACCAAAAATCAAAATAAATCCGCGAAATAATCCAAAAAGATAGTTTTATTTAAAAATGTCAAACATTCGCGTAAATCTAAGAAAGTATTATACATACCTAATCAAATATTTTCGAAGTCAGTGTGTAACATATTTATATGTTTGTTACTCCTTCATTCTGTAACGGCTGGACGGATTTGGATGAAAATTAGTGTAATAGATATACTATGACGGATAAGTAACATACTTGTATAGGCCAATGTTTGACACTTGAGCGAAGCAAGGGTGTGTCGCTAGTCTTAATACGATTATTTAACCAAAACAGCTCACGCAATGCTGTTATTCAGTCTTCGCCCATTGAATTTATAATTATACATTCAAATCGATCATTGAAACTGATATCGGTTCTCAAAACTTCATTATCTAACCAAACCTAACAACATCAACGCTGAGTGTTTACTTGCAAACTTTGATTACATTTAGACACTTGTAATTGCTTGTTGCTGGGAATAGATTAAATACCATTTACGAGTCAGAATGTTAAAGGGCTTAATTAATCGCTTCAGTCCTTTGTACAAGACCTTTTCATAGTTTGTATCGAGATCGGAGAAATATTACAAAACTAGCAGAACTCGTGGCTTCACTCGCCTTAAGAGTACAGAAAAAAACTTTTTGGCTTTATGCTTTTTTCTTTTATTAATATTTTTTTCTTTTTGTTTATCGAGTAGTCATAAGTAGGTCCACCCTCTGGTGCCAATCGTTGAATTTTGGGACACTATGTATACCTATATAGATCAATATCTAACTATCTTTAGCGATGTCCATCTGGAGCATAAATTAAATAAAATATTTTTCCGATACTGAAAACTACTTTTTTGTAGTAACATAACATACAAATAGCATGAATAGCTAAGAATCTCAGTGTAACTTTTACGTTTAATAACGCATGTTTTATTATTTTAAATACATAATTTTGACTCTCCGCTTAAGCTTTTCTTCTAATTCAATATTAAAAAAATATATTCTTAACTAGTTTTTAAAGCGATCAATATATATATTAACTATCAATTTGCTTTCTTTTTACATTACATTTTCCTTAAATAAAGATATTTAAAAATAAATAATGTACGTATAAAAATCGGAAAACTATTGAAAATACAAAAGTTTGTATTTGTTATTACTTCAAGTTAAAACGACAGATTTATATATTTTGTAGACGTGATTTGATAGACTATGACTAAATATAATATATAGGTTACTATTAGGCAGGTATCCGAGAGCAGCAAGGGTAAGTCACTAGTCTATACTAATATTATAAATGTGTAAGTTTATGAGTATGGATGTTTGTTACTTTTTCACACCAGAATGGCTGAACGGATCTGGATGAAATTTGGCACGGAGATACTTGTCATCCCGAAAAAATATACGGTTCCCGTGGGATAGGTTTGTTTTTGTTAAAATTATAAAATTGGTAGTTCAGAATGTTTTCAAATTATAATTTATTCAAATTAATTAAATATATTAGTAATAAACAACATAATTAAGTCGAAATGAGCATTCGAGTTCGAGTCATAATAAGGCATTTGCTGTGAATTCCCACCGGCTCAGAATATCATTTTTTACTACACGTTCGCGGTTTTACAACGCGCCCAATGAATTTTAATATCATTTCCATTTATTGCTATTGCTATGACTTTAAATAAAATAAAGCGAAACGTGTAAAAATGATACCTGAGCGTCTACTTATCATATCTTTTACTTTAAAATTGGACGTTTTCATTTTAACGCACTTTATCTGATCGTTAAACGATGGAACTTATTTTCATTTCGAAGTAAATCTGTTAGACTCTGATTGTATATAACTTTTTGTTCTTTTAATTATTTTTGTTAAAATGCATGTATATATGTATGTAATATATATGTATTCAGGCCTTTTTAAAGTCCCACTGCTGGGACTGCGTCCTTCAATACAAGGGGGATCAGGCCATAGACCACAACTCTGGCCAAGTGCGGGTTGGCGGACTTCACATGTCTTTCGAAAACTTGCTAGGTTCTCTCAGACATGCAGGTTTCCTCACGATATTTTCCTTCACCGTAAGACAAGTGGTAATCATGTTAGAAAGGATTCGCACATGAAAATACCAGAGGTGCGAGACCCGGGATTTGAACCCGCTTCACTCGATTTCCCAAGCGAGCGCGTTACCACTGGGCTACTATACTGCCATAAACTTTGTTAAAATATTATTATAATAATAATAATATATTTATTATTATGTTAAATAACCTTTTTTTTTTAACGTTGGGAAATGCATTTACGCACGAGGTGTGGGACTCACCGGCAAAGCCAGTACTACCCACTAAAACCCAACAAAACCTTCCCCCGTCTTAATGGGGTGTCGCAGGATCGCTTACGCATTCAACTACGACGCCCCGACGGCAGGTCTGCCGAAGCAGACCACCACAACCATGGGGTTGCTCCAAGGTCCACTCTGCTATCAGAGAAGTACCAGGAGCAACCCGAATGGTACACCGCTCACCGAAGAGGGCCACCTCCCACCGCCCACCGAAGTGGGCCACCTCCCTGTGCGTTTCTTGGCTTCGCGCCCGGCTGTATTGCCGGGCACTACTGAGCCCCCCCACCACGACAAGGTGAACGCACGTTGGGGGGCATACTAAATAACCTAGACAACCGACTTCAAAACAAGAGTATCTAAATGCATGGTTTAATTTTTAATTTTAATATTTGCATTGTTTGCGTCGGCTAGCACAGACTGCAAAAATATCTGATTAGGTCTCTATTGTAAGTGAGAAAGTTCAGTTATTTTTCCCGTTCAGTTATTTTTTATTTTTAAAAATCTAGAAGCCGGATTATATTTAAAAAAAAAGTTTTAACAATTTTTTTTAATTATATCGCTTCCTATCGACTCGTTAACATTCTACTTGTCGGTTCGATTTAATAATCGAACCGACAAGTAGAATGTTAACGATTATGAGGCTTCTACTAATTTAATTTAAAATTCCATTCTATAAATAACATTTTCATTTATTTATTAACAAAATAAATTTATTTAGTAGTATACAATTACAAATAGACCCACAGAAAAAATATATATTGTCTAGCCATTAAACAAACGTAGCATTTCCTAACTACGAGTATACTACGCCTTCAATATTCGGTCGTAAAGCTCAATTTGAAAGTCCAATAAACAGGAACCGTTTATACTAATTGTTTGGGCTCGTATTCAAATTGCCACAGCAACTAAGTGACTGGCGACTTCAATGGATTCTGCCTAAATAATTTGAATGTTCCACCATCTGTTACTTGCTACATACATATAATGCTCTCAATCGCATTGAGGTCATTGATTAGAAACTATTGTCTTTAAACTTTTTTGGGTTACTGTCATACATAGCACCTACATATCAACTTATATACAGAAAGTAGATAAAACACCTAATATTTAAGAGGAACTTAATTTAACCTAACTTATACCAATTTTACTAAAACTCCTATTTTCTGAAAAGTAAGTTTTTGTGGTTATATCTATTTTGCATAACTACGTCCAATCAATCTATGTGCAGATATTTATATGAATTTTTGACACAATGCTTACAAACAACATAAACAATAAATAGTAATAAAACCGGCAAAAGAAATGTTCCAATACAATATAATAATGACGAAACAACACCATTTTGATTAGGTAAGGAATCTTTCATATATTTTTATAAACTTTAGCGCACAACATATTAAAAAATTATAAATATACAAATCTTCCAAACTTAGATCTAACTTCCTTAAAACTAGATCCCCAGGCGTGTTACGAAATGAAAACGAAATTGAAACAAATTTACTTACACACGTAATTTACACTAGAGGTAGAGTCAAACTCAATACGACTTGATTTCGCAAAAACCAATGCTAGTCAACAAAACACAAAATAAGGGCAGTTCTTACTTAAATTAATATAAACTAAAATTGCTTTTGTTAATTGTTCAAGCTCGTATTTAAATTGCCGCAGAGTCTAATGATTGGCGACAATTCCACGAACGCGGCGCAGTTTCAATGTTCTGCGGGAACTTGTTTTTTTAAATCTAACTGAATTATTCCTTAGCACTTAAGTTTTAACTTTCCTCGTTTTAGGGTTCTACATAATATTTATTTTCCAAAAAGTTTTAATATGATAAATAGGTTAAATATCATCTATGAGCTTTTATATAATAAACATTTAAATAATAAACCTTTTAGCCAACAGTAATATAGAAGGATGATTTAAATCTAATTATTTCAAACAATAACTTGTTAATGAAATAAAATAATTGTATAATTTCAAGAAAAAACTTTCAAAGCTCTATTTAAGGAGAAAAATGTAGATAAAATTATTTGTTCCAGATATCTTCTTCAATATAACATTGCGGAGGAAAACTCTCTTTTACACAGTTAACTTAATCGTGCCGTGTGTGGGAATATCATACTTGTCTGTCCTGGTATTCTATTTGCCAGCCGATTCTGGAGAGAAAATTGCTTTAAGTATCTCGATATTGCTCTCTCAAACCATGTTTTTTCTTCTCATCTCAGAAATTATTCCATCCACCTCTCTCGCTCTTCCGCTGCTTGGAAAATATCTTTTATTCACGATGTTATTAGTGGGATTGTCGGTGGTAATAACTATTGTAATATTAAACGTGCACTATCGTAAACCGAGCACTCATAAGATGGCACCTTGGGTTAGGAAGTTCTTTATAACAAAGCTGCCTAAGTTGCTTTTGATGAGAGTTCCAAAGGACTTATTAAGAGATTTGGCGGCGCAAAAGATAGCTGGGAGAAGTATGAAGAAAAATAAGTTTAAGGACGCTTTAGCGGCTGCAGAACAGACCAACTCGAATGCTTCTAGTCCTGATTCTCTACGCCATCACTTACCAGGAGGTTGTAATGGATTACACTCCACTACAGCAACTAATCGGTAAGATTTGAACTTAGAACATATTTCAGATAATTTTATTTGAACATATTTTTCTTTTCGAACTGGTGGTAGACTCATGACGTTCAGTAAAATGATTTTAATAATTTAATGTTGCATAATATAATTTTATGCATTCGAATTATGAAATTGAAGAAACATACTTATTATTATTATAATTATTATGAAAAATTAGAAATTGAAATTGATGTATAAAAATCTAAAGACTATTTATATGTACTAAAAATATCGTGCTAATTTTTTAATCAAACATCTCGTAGGTTTAGTGGACTTGTTGGCGCATTAGGAAGCTTGGGGGCTGGCTACAATGGACTCCCCTCAGTCATGTCCGGTCTGGATGATTCTCTTAGCGATATTACTCCACGAAAGAAATACCCCTTCGAACTGGAGAAAGCCATACACAACGTTATGTTCATACAGCATCACATGCAAAGGCAAGATGAGTTTAATGCGGTAAGTTATAGACAAAATATCAGCAATAAATTGACATATCATGACTGTAAGATCTCACTCATAGTAACCTATCTTATAAAGGGTGACCTTTGCCTATTATTCCACCCTAGGGATAAGGGAGGCGTCACTAATATTTCAAATTTATATAAGGCCACCAATATCTATATAAGTATTCATAAAAATTAATTCTACAAAAAAATATTTCTTCAAAATGTCCTACTGGCTATAAGCTCCATCTAATCGATTAAATGCTAATATATATGTATGTGAGAACTCATAATCGATTTTTCCTCATTATATATTTAGCAATTATTTAAATCGTTATAATTAATCCTCTTTGGTAACTCACCTAGTTTCCTCCCTCGACCTATTACGCAAACGAAAACTTTAATTACTTTTGGTCTAAATACTGCAAAGGAAATACTCAAGGCGGATGTTTTCACTGAGGTCACCTTATCAAAAGTTCGTCTTAGCTCTTTTTATTCATTTGAAAACCATTAATTATGCATTAGAAGTGAATAAGTGTTTATTTTACTTAAAGTCGTATAATATGCATATTTTTTAAGAAGCCTGTGCTTTTATGTGTTGTTAAAGTTTATATTTTCTCGTTGAGTGAACGTATGTCAGTTGTATCATAGGATGTAGTAGCCCAGTAACAACGCACTCCTTTGGAAAACCGAGTGAAGTGGGTTCAAATCCCGGATCTTGCAATTCTGATATCATGTGTAAATCTAACGCGTAACTAAAACACGCATAAATTTTAAATTTATAATATTTGTATAATTTTATTTCAACAGGAAGATCAAGACTGGGGTTTTGTCGCCATGGTCCTAGATAGACTTTTCCTATGGATATTTACCATCGCATCAATTGTGGGAACTTTCGCCATACTCTGTGAAGCTCCTTCCTTGTATGACGATACGAAGCCCATAGATATGGTATTGTCGTCTGTAGCACAGCAACAATTCTTACCTGTTGATAGTGGTGATTCATAAGTAGTAAAAGCTTTTAAATGAAATATATTCTCTTAGATTTACGCGAATATTTGACATTTTAAATAAAACTATCTTTTCGGATTTTGTCACGGATTTTTTCTCTCAAACTCTCAGCCACGTCAGACACTCTCAGTCTGATGAGTCTCTCCCGTGACCATGAATGCTGTAAAGCATTCGAAACATCGGGAAACAAAAATGCAAATAAATCCGCGACGAAATCCGAAAAGATAGTTTTATTTAAAATGAAATTTATTCATTTTAACTTGTTTTATTATATCATGAAACAAGGTTTGATATACGACATTAAATTTATATAATTTTTTATTCATTTAATTTCAATATAAATTTATTTGTATTTTAGTTTTGTATAAATTTTTTGTATTTATATTGTCTTTAAGGTAAGTAGAAGTACTTAGAATAACATGTGTGTTGAAAGAAATTTGGCGTCTATGTTATTCAAGCCAAAGTAGGGCTGTGATTTTTTTATTACCATAGCATAGCTTTTGGGAAGCCTTTATATCCGATTAATATTTAATTTTAAATCCAAAATTTTAACGCATTTCAGCCGCTAAAACAATTTAAACTTTTAATTGTATCTTCATAAATTCTAAATTCATGTGTTTTGTAAAATTTAAACGTTTCCACTTTAATTCTGAATAGCGGTGTGGTAGGAGCATCTATTTCTATTTCGAAGCTCTCTGGTTCGATTCTCGCTCAAGATAAATTATTATATTGTCTATATAACTAGTCGTGTTGTGTCAATCAAATGGTGTGTTTAAGTGTGCAATGCCATTTTCTTTTAGTTTAAATTATACATCGATAAGCTAATATGAATTTTGTAGGTGAATAATGGCTGTGGATAGTGTCAAAAATGAACTGTTAACACGATAGGTAGGTATTTAATAAACTATGTTGTAGTAATGACATTTTGAAATCACATTATATAAAATATATGAAGTCATGAACGTCTTATGTAAGAAATATAGATCCAATTCATAGCATCTTTTAAATCAGATCATTAAAATATATTGAATCATCATAATAATTATGTATAATGTTGGTGATGATTATGATGATGATACATAAATATTTATATATTTATTTATTGAAAAGGCAGTGGTAGCACAATGGTAACGTGCTCACTTGGGAAACCAAGTGAAGCGGGTTCAAATCCTGAGTCTCGTCTCTAATACTTTCATGCGCGAATGATTTTCAACATGATTACAACTTGTCTTACGGTGAAGGCAAATATCGTGACGAAACCCACATGTCTGAGAGAACCTAACAAGTTTTTGAAAATCAAGTCTGGCAACCCACATTTGGGCGGCGTCTTGGACTATAGTTAGATCCACCTTATATTAAAGGGAGGCCCGTGCCCAACAGTGGGACGTTAATAAGGGCTGAACCCAAGCCAAACATAATTATTATGATAATAATCATAATCATACTTTATCTAGAACTGGCAATATGTGTTAATTTTTAAAATTCATGTTAAATCGAATCTAAATATTTCAAATCATCATTTTACCTTCAGTCATGTAGAATTTATCCTTCTCGTTGTAACTTTTACTTCGATCAATAAACTATTCTAGTATTTAAGAATGTATTAAATAAGTATTAACGATATTCGTCTTTTATTTACTTTTTGTCTTTATTACGTATTAAAATGGTTGTTATTGTTCAATATGCAATTATTTAAATAAACAACCAAAATAAAAAAGTCTTCTTAAATATTTGCAACTTATTTTATCTAGTTAAATAATATATCATATATATATATAATATTTATATTTAGTACTTTTTCCTAGTATGATGCAAAAAAATCATCTCCTTGTGAAAATTATGCGAAAAATATATATCGCATACTTAGCTTACTGCAATTAAAGGACTAATTTTTTAATTAGAGATCTCCGTATGTAATGCACATTTAAAAGATGTAAATCAATTTGTTTATTTATCATCATCCGTAGTCAACAAGAAACCCTTATGCATATAGTTTTGCCATGTCCGTCCGTCGGTTGTCGTCAGCTTAGCTCAGAGACTCTTTGCTAGGAAGCTCTCATTTGGCATGGATATATGTAGACATATATAATACATATATGAGTACATATATTAGTGGTAAAATAAAATTGAGAACTTTTTGTGTACCTACCTCCTCTACGAGTCTACATTTAAAGTGGGGATGTTTTTTTTTCTTGTCTACCCCATAAAGTGGGGTGTCGATAGATAGGTGTTTCAAAAATATTGCAGATTTATGAAATCATTTTTTTTTATTAAGGGATCCGTTTGTGAAATATGAAGCTTTAAAGTGCTAATTTTTGTTAGAGTCGGTATTGGCAACTACGGAACCTTTCATTACGCGTGGCCCGACAAGCACTTGGCTGGTTTTATTTTTAACAGTTGAAAGTAACGAATGTAATAATAAAAATTAAAAGGTCGAGGAACCCTGGTCAGGAACGAAGTTCCTCACGCCTTTTCTTTAAATCCGAATGTAATTTAATATGATTATTTTGCTTATAGATATAAATATATTATATTGACTTTGGGAAACAATGTTATGTCTCTTCCATGCGACTTTATCTTTTTCTCTCTTCCTCTCTCTGCAATGCGTTCTTTTTTTAATTTCTATCATTTTTTTAATGTAAATATTGCAAAGGATAAAATCAAAGGGTTTTTTCAAATATTTTAGGAACAATATTTATTTATTCAAAGTTAGATATAAAATAGTGAATTATAAATTAGTTAATAATAATAAGTATGTAACTCACTTTCAATGAAATTGTTAGTTTTTCAAAAACGACTTTATTTAACGGGAGTATGCTCTGAGCATCGAGCACATTTAAGTAGCATGTGATGTAAGAAAGTACGGCAGTCAGTGCTTGACTATAACATCTGAACTACGGCGGACGGAACCTAACATCTCGTAACGCTTTTTCGTTATGTTACGATTTCTACCTGTCAACTTCTACTCCCAATAATTTTATAAGGCACAATAGACAGAAAGCTATGAGTATCTATCAAAATCACATTAACATGACTGACTGACAATCTGTCTGACACAAAAACCCATCGTCTGATAAATAAATACCATAAAACGGATCGAAACAGTTAACGTGCGACCGAAACATTAAAGTTGTCAACATGTAAAAAATATGGCACTCCGCTTCAATTCTCAGCTGTAAAACCATATAAATATGGACGTAATAAATCATTGGATTTATACAATGGCTATCGAATTTCAAATCCATTCATTGATAATAGTTTAAAATTTTGTACTAAAATTGCTTTCATTTTTTCCATATATGTACATATGAACTTTAAAGTATATACAGACCATTTATATTTACATACAGACCATTCATATTTTATGGTATTTTGTACTCTACAAGGGGGTCCTATCTCGGAGGTCTATTAGAAATTGTAATAACTATACATATTAAGTGTTAATTACCCATGACGGTTTCTATGGAATTTGATATTCAGAGTTTCAGTTCGTTGTATACAATATCTAGAATAGCATTCGAAAATGCAAAGTTCCGCTGGCTGTGGCTACTTCTATCTTTATCTCTTTATTTGCTTTTTATCGCCGCTTTTAGCTCTCTTTATAATAATACTACAATCTATACATATAATAAAAGTGTAACTGATCGTTGTCTGTACATGGAAGATATTTGAGAAAAACTATCATTGGGGGTCTTTATATACGCAATAGAACCCAAAACAATGATTTTTAGAATTTTTGTCTGTTTGTCGGTTTGTCTGTTTGTATGAGCATTTGTGCACGCTAATCTCAGAAACGGCTTAACGGACTTGGATGCGGTTTTTACTAATATATTGTGGTAAGCTTCACTTAATATTATGTATTTGTTTTATTTCAATCGGTTCATAAATAAAAATGTTACGTCAATTTAAATAATCACCTAAGGACGAACCCGAGCGGGGTGAGGGTAAGTCGCTAGTATACTAATATAATAAATAAAACTTCTTCAACGAATTTCAGTTATAGTGCTCAATCTCACTCAGACACACACACGTAGTGTTCTCTATTCCATAGACTCTCGATTCGACACAAACAATAGGCGCAGGATCGACCCCTGCGTGTCTTGACTCGGCATGAAGAAATAATACCACCAGCTTTCCACTTCTTCCTGCTACAGATAAATTCTTGACAGAAAACGGACTATATTCTTGGTCCCCGAGGCATGTAAATAATTTAAAATTTCTTGGCGTTGAGGGAATCTATAAAGGATGAATTATCACGTTTGTTTCCTACACTAATGCCACAGAAATTAGTAGATGAACCTAAACATAAAAAATTGGTCAAGTGAGAGTTGCACTAGCACATGAAGGGTTCCGTACCATAATCGATTTTTTTTTTAATTTGCGTGGCAGCCTTTTTGAAATTCCTTATTAATTGTTGTTATATCTGCAATAGAAATAAATACGTGTGTATTTATCTTTGAAAAATTCATTTCTCTACCTATTACGGCTCATAAGATACAGCCCTCTGATAGACAGACGGACGAACGGACAGCGGAGGCTTAGTAATAGGGTTCCGTTGGCACCCTACGGGTACGGAACCCTAAAAAACTACCCTTTGACACATATTTTCGCTTTTATTATATTATTAAATGAGAATAATAGGCACTATATATTCGTATCTCTTGTACGTTTTTTTTTTCATAAAGAGAAAAATTTGCATAACGTCCAACGTAAATTTATGTACCTGCCTCTATACTGTGCTTTCAAAAACATGGCCTTTCTATAAAATGTTAATCAAAATAGTATGATATAACTAAAACAACATATGAAAAGTATATCAAAGAGCTATTTACTGTTGAATAATGCATACTCTGATGAGACGCTCCTTTATCGAGTGCCTAGTGCTTTAAAATTAGTAATTTAGCAAGTCAATTAGTTTTAGTTCTCTTATTTATGTTATAACTATCGGAATTATAGCATCTGACGACACTTTGATAGAGAGCGGAAATTTTATG